GCTGGGCTGTGTGATACTCATAGACTGGCCATGGCATTTTTCATAAAGATTAAAGCAAGCAGGTGTCCCCAGCGAACGATCAGGTCACCTTAAATGAACAAATGATTTGGACATTGCTCATGATTTATGCTTTTATGCAAAGGCAGTATTTTTATTACAGATATCCTGCCTAAGTAACTAGATGTCTTCCAGGGGGCACAGCTTTCCAAGCGGCAAACTTATCACTTCAGACTGGTCTTTGCTGTTACTACATTAAAAAGAAGGAAAAAACACTGTCAGGAACAGTGTGTTGCTTTCTACAGTGTGCTGTGGCAGATGAACTATTGTTAAGTGCTACATTCATACCACAAGTATCACATTCATACCCTCCTACCCCTTCCCCTGGCTGCCAATGCAAGGCAGACTAGATTACTTAATTACATCTTTCCTCCTTAATAATGGAATACTTGGAAAACTCTTATTGATCCTACAGAACATAATTCATGTCCTAATTATAGTGATAAAACTGCAAGATTATCATCTTGCCAGCTATTAACTTCTAGAGCTGATCTGTGTTAATTAGAAAACAGATAGGTGATTTCTACATTCTTGATTTGCAACATAATAGCACAATGAATGAGGAAGGCTGCTAAAAGGTATGCCAAGCAATGTCTAGCCCTCAATCTACTCTCAACTCAACCTACTACAGATCCTGCCCAGGAAATACCAGACACATTTAACAGTTTAGCTTCATTTCTTCAGCCATTTGAGTTGTATGCTCAATGCAACAACCACGTTTGATATTGTCAATTTTGCAGAGGTTCAAATGTGAAGCATGGACCTCTGTTTCTTTATCTGTCTCTTACAGGACTGAGGAGGTTAATCCAGGTTCTTGTTTTGGACTAAGCCTTCAGTCACCCTCAGTCTGGACAGAAAAGAAATAAATTTAAAAAAAATCAAGATGATCCTTTATTTCCAGAGTTAAACTCACCCTCCCCTTAACTGCAATGATGGGCTGTGGCTGAGCAAAGAAAGAACAACCCCTTCCCTAACCAGCCCTTCACTGTGCTTTTCCTGAAAAGGATGTAGCCACATCTAAGAACCAAGCACTGACTTCCTTCACGGCTGCTCAAAGGACTGCCTGTTAGGGTCATGGAATACATCTAGAAGATGAGAAACTAAGAGTTTTCTACCCTACTCAGGGCTTGTCTACACAGGAACCTAGTCAGCAGCAAAATAGGATGTGCATTTACAGTGCATTACCTGTGCCGCTTGAACCTCCTGCATGCCCGCTGCAATGCCCACAGTGTCTTCGTTTGGCCTCCTAACTGAAATAAACTCCCGTGGCTCAGACGTAATCTTAGGGCTCATTAGAAATGCCCACACGAGTTATGACATAGCTACTGCGATGCACGCTGTCTTCCACACATAGGTAATCTGTTTGGTTTTAGTGTTCTGACTGTTATCCTCAAGATGAGGGTGTAATTTCTTGGCCTTCTGCCACCCAGACAAGTCTTTAGCAGTTGAGACTATAAACGCTAAGACAATGGGCTGGTCAAGGAAAAACAGCTTTGAAGCTGGGCAAGACTGACCAAACTGAGATATATAGTAATACCAGGAATTTAAGTTGCTACAGACATATCTGGAGATACTCAAAACCCGCCTGGACGTGATCCTGTGCAACCTGCTCCGGCGAACCTGCTTTAGCAGGGGGTTGGACCAGATGATCTCCAAAGGTCCCTTCCAACTCTTACCATTTTGTGATTCTGTGATATGAATGTAGAAGAAAGTCCAACAGTGGGTAGAAGCTAGCAGGTATTAGTGGTTAGTGTGGTGCAGAGCAGACCTTCTTTTCTCATGTTGCAGCATGAGTTAACAAACCACATCAACCCCTCACTTCAGATGCAGATACCAAAAAGACCTCCCCTTTGTGAGGGTTAGACAGTTAATCCTGTGGGTGCCACTGCTGTTGAGGTTGCTGCTGACTTGCCCTGAAGCAGGCTGTCAATGCACACACGCCATGCACAATTACTTGGCATAATAGCACTATGAGGTAAGCCTGAGTCCGTATCAGTGAACCTGGTATGCCTCTGATGTAAGGCACCAGGTCAAGTGCTCTTGATTTCACCTTGCCATCAAAAATGTGCAGCTATCCCCATGCAATCTGGCTTTGTCAAGCATATGACTGCTTTAAGGGAAGTATGACACAAGAGGATAAAGACTGGTGCAGTCCCATAGTACAGCTGGCACTGGCAAAGCAGGAAAGCTCGCCCCATGTAAGTGTACATTCTAATCATTCAGATCCTGGCTGACACCAGGAAACTTCAAGCTGGGAAAAGTATCTGTTGTAGGAGATTCTCAATACAAAAGAAACTTGAAGCTTGCAATAAAAGCTGATGGGAATCAAACAGTTTGCACATAATGAATCTTCCATATCTTCAAAAGCATTTGATTCATGGGCAAACAAGGCTCAAAATATCTTTGAGAGAATACCTCCCATTATTTGCTACCATCCAGTTTAAATGGTGGCACAGAGTTCTCACAGTTTGTTCCAGACCATGTAGAGCCCCACACTTCTGCACCCTTATTCCAAATGATGAGACTATACTGCCTCTCAACGCCCTGCCAGTAAAACACACTTGAAAGGGAAGTGCAATAGGTTGGCAACATCTTTGAACACCTTTAAGGTCCTGGGTTTCCCAGAAGAGAAAGAAACGAGTAAGAAATGTAAAAAGAAAAGTTTACTTCTACTTTAGAAGTTGCTGAGCTGGGAAGCACTTTGTTATGTGACTTTCTGAAGTATTTCCGCTGTCACAGGGGGAGCCTATTCACAAATGCTGTGGGTGATCTGTTCCCAACAAGGGAGATTTTGATAATCTATAACTCATCAGAAGGAGGTTTTCATATTCTGTGAGCTATTGTGTTGGACGGTCAATGACGAATCAGTTTCCTGCATTCATTTGTTTCCGTCTCTTCCATGACATCCTCTCTAAAATTTTACTGCTTTATTGCTTACAAACACCTCCTTCCCACGCAGTTCCTGCTGGAAAGGCAGTTTACCATCTTTCCGACATTTAATGAGAATCTTGTCAGCTGAGCATGCAGGAACTTATAGCACCTCTAATACCTTTGTGGAAAAAGCATCATCTTGTTAAGAAAAAAGCATGAAGAGGCCTCAGAGAATCATACAATTTTGCTGTTAAAAAAAAGAAATTTCTAGGCAGGAAACTACAACTACATAAAGGCATGTGCACTCAAATAATTGGATCAAAAATAGTTAAATGTTACTAATTCCTCTGGTAAAGCATTAACTAAAAAAAAAAAAAGAAAACTAGATGAGAGAATGAGATCTAAGGGGAGAGCATGAAGAAGTACTGTTTTACTTGAAGCAATTTGTCTAGCTTTTCTCTATTTTTCAAAACAAGAAAACTCGGCTCCTGAGAGAAGTGGATTGATAAGGTGACCCTAGTATTTTACAAGCAAATGCTTGGAACTGAATTCAAAGAAACAGTGAGTGAGCAAGATACCATCTCTGAAGTAAACGTGCAGTAGGCATAAAAAATTAGTTAGAGCTAGATTACACTACTGTCTTACGGTTAAACATTACTCAAGGTTAAAATTATTCTTGAAATTATATTCTTGACCCAAGTCAGAGCTGCACAAAAACAATTAAAAAGCCACATGGTTAGCAGAAGCCATGTAAAGCATGGTCAATCTAAATATGGCACATGAGCCCAACACATTTCAGAGCCTTTCTGCTCAGTAGTGACATCTGTTGCTATCTGGACCATCACGTAAGTCTGACAGAAGTTCCACCCTTCCTAACTATCCAGGAACTGTGCATGACAGCCTAGTGAGCTCACTGCCACATCAGCACGATGATGGAGAATGTTTCCTAGAACCCAAAACAAAAGTATCTGTGTTAATAGTTACTAAAAAAAGTTTACTTCAAGGCAGGAGCAGCATAAGAACAGGAAAAAAAAATTAAAAATCTGATTAAATAAAACACTTGTTCTATGAGCAATTTTTTTAAGTGGAAATAATTTCCATTTTGCTCAAAGCAAAGTCCCAAAGAGGTTACTTGGGACAACCTGTCTTGAGGCACAAAACCTGTCAACTAAGTTTCCAAGTAAGGCTCAAGTGGAAAAAAGAAAGAACATAAAACTCACGCATGAGTAAAGCTATCCACATGTATCAGAGATTCAGCTCTGACACTAAAAAAAGGTATTATTAACATTAAACTAATAACCATTTGTATTTTACGCAATTTATTTTTCCAAAAAGCATCTCCAACAACATCCAGTGAAGACTGGCAGAATGTGATACCCATTTTATGCACAGGGAAGCGAGGGGAAAAGAAAACATCTTGGCAGAGATCCCACCATATCTGCAACGGGACCCCACAGTCTCAAAGCACAGACCACGTGGGTTCAACCAGTAGCTGCCACACATTTAAACATACGGTATCACTCATGAAAAATACACTAGTTTTTGAGAATCACTTTGGATCGAACAAGTATAGACGAAAGTGTCTATTCAGGAGGAGAGGAGAAACAAATCTCAGACGAGGACAAGAAATCAACAGCCTAAGGAGGAAGAGGGAAGCTGCAACAGACTGGCATTGATCATCGTAGCATTCATGCTGTCTTACACCTGATCACCAGAGAACTGAAAAGGGTCAGAAGCTTTTGGTGTGATCTGTGGTCACGTGAAAAACATCCACTGTGCTCAACAGAGAAATCCAGTATGCAGCTAATAAAGGATCAAACAGGTCTGGAATAGTTTTCTCTATCAGAGTATTTTAGAACCAAGTTTGCCTAGGATACTTCAGCAAATTAAAAAGCTGAATGAATGACTGAGAATTTGGACTCAACCAAAAGGAATCCAAAAACCATTAAACAACTGACCTAATGAATTACAGGCACATTTTTCCAGGACAAAAGAGTAAAGCCGTAAAAAAAAAAAAAAAAAAAGAATTTTGCACATACATTCAAACAAAGGAAAACATGATTTTTACTTACATTTCAGTGGCTATGAATCCGGTGAGCTCAGAGAGGAAGAGAAACAGTATGAAGAGACAGCAGCAGACAGAGACTGGAAAAGAGGCAGAGAGAGGAAAAGGTTAGTTTCATATCTCTTACAAAGACAAAAAACGTTTTCACACAGGCATATTATTCCCCCCATGGATATGCCACCCAGACACACTTGAGAACTAATAATCTTCAGTGACAATGACTCCGATGAGGCCATCAGAGCAGTGATTTCAATGGCATGCCAATACCCAATATCCTGTTGGGTATCTTAATGCTTGGGCCACCTTTTCCATCACGATTTCCATCTCCCCATGGCTCCTGCATTCTCCATCTCCAGCACACAATGTTGGTCTGCCAGCTTTCCCTCCTCCTTGATAAAGCTGCTTGACAATACAGCTTCTTTGGAACCCTTGCTCCAAATGTAATTTTATTACTACTAAAATCTCCAGAAGGAAAAAGAATCAGCACCTCCTTACTTCAAAAGGACAGTCAGCTACACAGTATTTTGTGGATTAGGAGATATTTTGGTTCTTTGTCATGTTCTAATGCTATCCGCAAGTCATCTCACACCCTGCTACCCACTAAATAGAGCTGGTACAGCAGAGACATGGCAGTAATGGACTAGTCTAGCCAACGCCTGATACTTCTTCAATTTCTCCATTTGACGATACATTGACTCTTCAGAGAGGAAAAACTCCCAGTGAAGGAATTGCAAAGTACCTGGACAAGTCCCATGTCTTTTCTAAGAATGCCAACCTAGAGTTAAAAGGAGGGAACCCAATGGAACTGGCATATTACTCGTTACTCTTCATGAAGGAACTATTCAAAACATTGTACAGTGACATTCACGCAACAGTGACAGTCACTGCCCCACACAGGATGGGCTGGAAGGAAGGACAGCTGTAAATCCTATTGAGCGGGAATGATTGGAGTAGACAAGGATGTGCCAACTCAAGGAGACAGGGCTGCAACGCATATTTGCATTAAATAAAATACCCAAGTTCACCATGAATCACCATACAAGAGTAATCCAGGAAATGGCATGTTATTCCAGGGCTGTGACAACAGGAGTACAATCTAGCTCACCCTTCAATCCCAGCAGAGTTGCAATGAACAAGCTCTCTTTCGAAACAACCACTTTACCATAGCCACTAATAAGGACTGAGAAATACATAAGAAAAACCTTGTTCCTCAACTTTATTCCACATGAACTACAGAGCCTGAATACCCGTTCCTTTGGGAAGCTCAGGAAACAACTGGTTGGGGAGCAACTTTATCATACAATTGTGCCTGTCCAAACTGCCTTGGTAGAGAATGTGAGAGGCAAGGGAAGGAAAGACGAGGTACTTAAGGCAAATACTGAAACAGACCCTTGAGTGACGTAAAGCTTTGTGCCTCTTTCTTCAGATTAGTCAGTTTATAGTTCTGAGGAAAGAGAAATGCGTTGCTTCCCCTTCCTCATCAGAGTAATTTCAAAGGTGGATTAATTTACTGACCCTCTGAAAAGTGCAAGGGATGCCAAAAAAATTCCATCAGCTAGGACGAACAGAGAAATGGGAAAACCAAAGACAAAGGTCAGTAGGAAAATGGGAAGCAAGGAGGGATATCTATCTCTAAAGAGAAACCTCACATAGTTACACAGTTGCTTCCAGGCCTTGGCTTGGAGTGACACCACCACTGCTGTAACCCAGCTAAGCCATTGGCATGGTGCACCATGCAGCGTAGGGGAGGAGAAAGGTCTACTTAAAGCACAGCAGCGAATTCTTACGAGAACATGTACACCTATGTAAGAGCACAAAAAAAGCAATGTAGACACAAGACTAGCTGATCCAGTGTTTCTTACTGTTAATCACCAAACAGCAGAGCCACAAGATCTCTGATCTTTGGCAGTATACAGGGGACAGCATTTGATGTAGACAACCCTTTCTTCTTTAATTGCTGCCCATATTCCTCTCTGCTTGTTATCATCCTGTAAGGGCTTCCCACAGCATCAGCTAGACCTCTCTGCTCTCCAGCATTTCTATGCAAGCCTGGTATTACTAAGTGTAAATCCTCTCCCAGAGCTTTCTCTGTCTTCCAATTCTTTAACTTTCTTCTCTGCCATTTGCATCATCAAATTATCTTCTCCTTTTTCAGTATACAAAGTATTTTCTCCCTCAAGTCCATGTTCCAATTCAGTTCTTGCAGTAAAGGCCTGTGACAACACTTACCAAATAAAGTACAATAAAATTCCACTAACCTAGATCTAAAAAATCCTGCAAGAATGCCCTGAAACACCTGGCAGGACTGACTTTCAAAGCTCATCAGTGCTTTTGCCAGTCTTCAAACTGTGTAGTCAGTTTTCAACCTGTAAAAGAGATTACTGAGGGTGAACATAAGAGGCATATATAAAATCATGAGCGGCCTGTAGGAGATAAATAGGGAACAACCACTCACTGTCTCTTCCAGTATAGGAATGAGAAGGAAGGGGGAGGTGAAAAAACACAGGAGGTTTTTCTTTACACAACACTTCAATAAATTCTGAAAATCCTTGACTATGGATGTTGAGGATGCTTAAAAACAAAAATCAAAAAGAAGTCCTACATGCCCTGAAGAAGAAATCCATTGAGGGCTACTAAACACAAAGGAACCACCTCTGGCTCAGGAAGTTCAGAACTGTCAAAGGACCAAATCCTGGCGAAGTGTTTAACCTGTCCCTATGCTCTTTCTCAGGCATCTGCTGTGGAACACTCCCGTCAAGAGGGCACTACCCTACATGGACATTTGCACTGACCTAGCTAGCATAGCCACTCTTGCGTTAAACTCTTCTTGTACACATGCATTTTCAGGAAACAGGGGTGCCCAGCATGAGACTTACGTGAAAGTCTTATGCACTAAACTGTCTCTAGAGCCAACATTTTTTCACAGGCAGAACTTGAGCACCTCTCCCTAGTGCAGAGCTGCAGGCACATATGATGTTCACAGCATAAGAATTTACGCACAGTGCTTCAGCTACTCATTTCATGGTGAAGGCCTTCACTTGCTTCCATGCAAACGTGCAGTTCCCATCACCCACATTTGACAACTGTATTGTATTTGGAAAAGTAGATTAAAGGCTAGGATCAGACAGAATCAAAAAAATCATGCATAAAGCTTAGCTTAACTACAAGAACACTGCGATGTTCCCACAAAGCTCAAAGGACCATCTACGACAAGTTTCTTAAAACTCTAATATGATAACACGATCAATTTATCAAAGGCTGCCGGTGTTAGACACACTGAAACACACTGCTGTTGGCTAACCAGCAATCCCAAAAGGATGGGAAATTCTGCCAAGGTTTTTTTTCCTGCACTAGCTTTGACAACCTAACCTTTTCATACATATCCCTCTGATACACACCCCATCTATGTACATTCCTGACTCTTCCTCCCCACCCAAGAAATGAAAGAAACGCAAAGTGTTTAACACATCATACAGACTGAAAATGTGGATCCATGCCTATATTAAGGCATAAAATTAATAGTATTTATTATTCAATGGAGTAAACTGTTATGAAGTGCAAGTCTTGTTACAGATACCATGTGAATCATAACTTTGATATTTCCTGATGTGTATTTAAAACTCCAGCCTCAAAACAGCATAGAGTATTTCTGGATAACATTACCATGTGTGCATACAACATGTGCACGCAAACTATGCATCCACACTGACTGTTAAATAGCAGGATTGCTACAGCAGCTGTCTGAGTTGCAGGCCCCTCTCTCAAGAAGTCAGACTGCCTCTATCCAGCCAGATGCCAACTGTCAGCCAGCCAGGGCATGTGCTGCTGCTGCCTATATAACCAAACATGGCCAAGTTGTCACCACGTTAGTCAGGTCTGTTACCATGGCCGTGTGCTGGCACCACAGACACGCTACACGGGGTGGGAAGGCCTGCAAAGACTGGCACAAGCATCTACTGGAGGAGGGACAACAATGGCATGACTGGCTGAGTGGCACAGGGATTGCAATACTGCCTGAAATAAAAGATTTTTATTGAGAAAAAGGAATGAGTAACTTCTGCACGCTTTTCAGAGAAGTCCACAGCAGCGAGTACGTTGTTCTACACAAACCTCGCTCCAGAGAATTTCAGTGCACTGTTCTCGGATCCTTTGTTCCTATGAATTTTTAGCAGCTGGAAGGGTGGCTACACAGATCTGAAATATCCTGTATGCTGCGTTCACTGCAACTTTTGAAATTACAAACCCATACATAATAGAAAGCCTCAATAACCCTCCAGTTAGCTTTTGAACTTGCTTGCACTTGAGATTGCCTGCTCTTCTACACCAAAATACCCTAATGCTCACCTTCCCTGAGCTGCTTCTTTCCTAGAAGAGTTGGACACTTTAGCCCTAGGTGGTCAGAAGTAGAGCTGGTATTTTCCATCTCTTTTCTTCTGTAATCTGATCTACCCCTTCTTCCCTAATAAACCTCAAACTTTGCAAAAAAAAGGGCCTTTTTACAATCCAAAAGCAACTGTAGGAATCCTGCAATAAATACATTCCTATTCCAGAAAGCCTTCGGCACCAGAAGTGATACTGAAGTTTCAGCAGAAATCATGTGGGAAGGGCCTAAATTAATAGTTGGCTACTACAAGCTGCTTTATACCTGCTCCATAAAACTTGGAGGACTTAAAGAAAGCCAAAATACAGTTACAGCTATAGTCATTTCACATATTTACTAGATCCTAAAAGATTTTTTGAGAGGCAGAACCTTCCCCTACCCTCAAGCCCCCCATGTTATTACAAGCTGACTTCCCTAAAGCATTTATCATGAAATCATGCAACCTTCCCAAGCTTCAAACTGGCATGGCAATGGGCTGGTCTCATTCATGGCCTCCTACGACATGCAAGATTACTGGCTTTCAAATTACAAGTCACAGGCTTGGTCAGACAGAAAGCCCATTAGGAAAGCTGCACACAAGATCCTCACATGCAAAGCCACCACAGTTTGTTGGCTGCCTGTGTGGTTCAAAAGCTTATATCAGCCTGTCTAAAAACACTCTGACAAAAAGAAGGAGAACCAGTTAGAGAAGAAAATCAAAGCCTGAGAAGCTGCAAGTAACAATAGAGAGAAATAAGTCAGCTAATAATTTTAAGTAAGAGTCACAGCCTTCAAGCCTTCCCACAACAGACTTATCACTTGAGCTGTTTACTGCAGATCAGAAAGCCTAACACTGGATGGCCTTTGATGGGTTTTTTTTTTGTTTCTAAAACATACTCTTTTGCAGGTGATTCATAACGAGACGTTCTCAAAGGGAACCCAGTTATAGTGTGGGAACTCTTTAAGTTTCCAAAACAGAAGAGAAGGCAGGATCACTAACAAGTTCAAAGTGTTCTTTCAAAACACCAAATCTCATACGCCTCTAAATTAGCAAACAGTTTTATTCAAGCCCTTTGTTCACAGTTTCAGCAAACCTAAAAGGGAGTCGACATACAAGTAATTCAGCGGTCAGGAGAACACAGAGGACAAGGACTCTCTGAAAGTAAATATTTAGAGTAATGTGCTATCTTCACAGAAGCACAGAATAGTTGAGGCTGGCAGGGACCTCTCTGGAGATCATCCCGTCCAACTCCCCTGCTCAAAGCAGGGTCAACTAAAGCAGGTTGCTCAGGGCTGGGTCGAGTTGTTTTGAGTATCTCCAAGGATGGAGGCTCTACACCACCCTGGGCAACCTGTTCCTGTCTTTGGCCATCCTCACAAGGATGTAAGGAGTGAGGAGTTCCTTTAGCTCACAAAGGGTTTTCCATTGATTCAGTGGTATTGACTCAGTTCTATTTGATGCCTGCTGTCACCAAGGGATATGACATCACTCACGCCAGCAATGACATAGAAGGCTACTGACCCATCTACAAGAATGGATGAATGGAGCACGGCTACACGATCAAAGGAAGTCACTGTTCAATGGAACAGGAAAGCTGCATTAGCAGCGTCTAATTACAGGCCTGGCAGGATCAACCTGATCAATGTTTACCACTGCGTACAGCCCGCTTACTGCATATAATTGTGTGAAATAGCATTACTCAGCCTACAGCCTCCCTCAGGAGGCGGAAGGAAGGAAAAGGGGCCCAAGGCAAGAGATTTATATCAGCCAAAGTCTATGTATTGATACACAGGAGTGAGAGTGGATGACCAGCAGTGGTTTCTGACCAAATAATTTTTCTTCTTTAAAAGCAAGACAAATAACAACAAAACAAGATGTTTGCTCGTTAGTCCCCATCTACAGCATCAGATGAATCCCCTGAGTATCTTATAAGAGAAATACATGTTTCCCAAAACATATTCACAACTGGCCACTGCATATTGTCACCCACACTGCTCCTTGCTGATCCCAAACCTGGATTCCCTGTCTGCAGTAGTCTGGTTCCTCAAGACTCTTCAGTTGGCAAACGCCTGAGTGCATTAACTGTAAATGCAACTGTCACCATTTGTTCTTCACACTGACTGAGGGGATGCCTATCTGAAATAGGTAAAAAAAAAAAAAAATCTATAGTCATCCTCCCCACCAGTGTTTCGAGCAGACTCACAGCTTCTGTTCATGGGAAGACACTAGCAAAAAGCTCACTAGCTACTTCAGCAGCTAGCAGAGTGCGTATTTCAGCACTAGATTTAGGAGCTCCCTTTCATGATAATATATCTTCACTAATTCTTGTTGCTGAGATTTCGAATCCATGCATTTAGCATGACTTGGCAGACTGGGCAAAATGAGCTGTCTCAGCAACAAAGGATACCCTTTCCAGTGTTTAACACCCCTTTAAAAACACTCCCTGGAGACAGAGAAGCCAAATGATCTTTAATTTTAGACCAGGGGTATGCAAGGACATCAAAAAGAAGCATTACTTACTAATAGCCCCTGTGTAGGTTGGCTGTGTAAGGTCTTTTGGCACCTTCCTGTAGATGTCAAACCTGAAAGAGGAAAAGCAACAGCCATAAAACAGGTGGAACATTTCAATACGTTTCATACCCCCACAGGGATGAATGATGCTGAAGTTTTTCCATCCAGCTCTCCAACAACATTTTTTCAGTTTGCAGAAGGATATGAGAAGGAAAAAGCAAAACAAAACAAAAAATTCTTTTTCTTTTGTACAATTATGTAACTCTGCTCCTTCTTGGCTCCAATTTCCAAAGCACTTCGCCTCCCTCCGCCTTACTGTCATGGATCTGCGCAATCTGAACTGAGAGAGGTGCCAGGGAAGAAGTCATGCTGGATAAGTTGAGACCCCCGTAAAAGGAAAAGGATACTCTACAGACTCCTGAATAAAGAGGTCTGGCAAAAAAACAGGGAGACACAACCTATATTGCCCCTTGTAGTTTGCATCCTGCAATATCCAGGAACCGACAATACCAAAGTCAGAAATCTAGGTGTTTAGACAAGAAACCTACACTTGGACACCAGATACACCACAGAAATTAACCCAAGAAGTTTGCTACTCCCCCAGAAAAATCCAGTTTAATATTAGACTGTTGTTTTGATTCAGTCATATCTTTTAATATCCATATGGCTCAGCTTTGCTATTTTAAACTCTCCATGGTTAAACTTTCACTGCCCTTATGATGTTAGCTGTATTATTTCCTACAACCTCGTGTTCCTGCACATCCAACCGCAATGCAGGTCTGACATCAGTTTTTCCACCACTCAATAAAAATTAATTAGTGCATTAAAAACACTCACACACCCTAAAGAAGGAAGTTACTGCTTCTCCCCCAAAACAGACTTTTTTTGGATATCACATCTCACAAATAGGTAAGATTTGATGTTTTTTCCAGCCCTGGAGAGGCATGAGAGACACTGGCTTCCCAATTCCTATTCCACACTGCACTGAGATGAAACACCCTCATTTTTATTTAGTAGTTCCTACTACACCAAATATTATACTGAGAGTTCAAAAACTAGATCACATCTTTCTTCACTCTGCATTTGTTGAGACCACTTACAACTCGGAGGTACTCTGGGTGAACAAAATAGTGTTTGTCTTGCATGAGATTAGAAGGACATCATTGCTGTGTTTCATTCAGGAGTTGAAGATGGAGGAAGGAAGAGTAAGAGAGGGAAAGAAAGCAGGTATAAAGATAGTTCACTTGCCCAGCTCAAGTCATGAACAAGCTATGTAATCACTTAACCACTCCAACAACCCACTGTGATACACTTGACAGAGGATGCTGCATAGGATATGCATGAAGCCATACGTTTTTATGACTGTATTCAGTGCCATCTCCTAAACAGGTTAGTAATATTCCTGAACCAAACAGCCCATTTATGGCTCTCCAGTTGCCCTGAGAACATCTGGAAAGCGCTGTTTACATTCTTTCCACATACACCAAAGCAACAGCAGCAGCAGATGGTAGGGCAACCCAGAGTAGCTGATGACATCATGGTCTCACAGGCAGAGGAAGTAGCTGATCCTTCCTGCTCACAGGCCATTAAACACTGAAAGCTGGTGCTGTCTCACCAAAGTCACAATAACAGATCAACAAGGCTAAAAAAGCTGAGAGAGAAAGAAATAGAGAGAGAGAGCGCACATGAACACGCAAGAGCTGCTGAGTGTGAGTGAACAATCAGAAAGAGGAAATAGTTCTATGCTGGATTCACTAAAACCAGCAACATGTGGATACTATAAAAGGAAGTTTGTTCTTACAATGAGAAATATTTACTAGTATGATGACCCATCACAGGATTTAAAAAAATAAAAATCTAGCTTTTTAAATAACTCAGTGGAAAGTTGATGTCATTGCAGGCTTCTCTCCTCTCAGGCTGCCATTTTAATCATGCAAGTAACACCCAAACACCACAAATTAACTTTTACATGGCATAAATAAGCTAGGATTAAGCAAAGACACTACAGAAAGTGAACAACGGCTCCCAGACACATTTATCGCCTGGCTTTAAGTGCTTAAAAGGCAGTCCACCCTCTCTGTGCTATTCTGCTTCCCATCTCTTCTACTACATCGTTACATTCCCTCTTTCTTCCACTACCATGACACACATCTAAGAAGGGCTTTAAGCAAGTCTCTGGATCTGATTTACCTGGAATTTTGAGAACTCTTGGGTCTACACTTACAGGCTCAAGCCACCCTGCAGGCACAGTACAGCACATGCACAACAGTTGTCACATGGAGGCCCTTAACACACTTTAAGGATCATTTCATGTATAAGCACAGGGAGTGTACATAGCTGCTAGGCAAAGAGAACATCAGGCAAACAGCGCCCCAGCCTTGAACTTACAGTCTAGAGGCACATACAAGAAGAGTACAGAACAACCCAGGAGAACTCAATGCTTCTACAGAACAAGCTTTAATGGCTTTGTTTTGTAGAATCAACACATTTTTAGGTAAGGACCAACACTACAGAATAACATAGAATCAGGGGTGGACAACATATGCAAAAGAGGCAACCAGAGCAGACCGGATGGTAGGGAGGAAGGAGGACAGCTCAGCTGAGATCTTACGGATGAATGCCGAAGCTTGAAGAATGACATCCAGAACCTGACTCAAGCAGCAGAAGGGAAGGCAAGCAGGAGAGGTGTATTTAAGCTTGCAGAAGGATGCTGGAATGGTCACAACTTACGTTAACAGCAAGGGAATGGAAAAAGACAAGTTTGGAGTAAGAGACAAACAATTCTGGCTAGATTTTGCTCACTGACATGTGATACCAGTAAGTCCAACAGACTACCTGACCAAATGAAAAAGAACTGGCTATATGCAACTATCCTGGCAGAACATTCATTCACTTGGAAAAGACACGCTCTGGATTAGGAGGGTTTATACTTTGGCAAAGGAACAATATCTTCACAGTACCAGGCATCTTCCCATAAAGCATAAGATACTTGCCACAGCTTAAGAAAGTACAATTTGTTTAGTCTGATCCAGGATGGTAAAAACAGCAGTTGGGTTTATGCATTGAGAGAAGGGCAAGTTGGAGGTCCAAAAGGACAGCAAGACATCAAACCTTGAAGAAAATGATGGAGATGCTGTCATGGCCAGGGAACAGAGCTATCTTGTTAACTCTGATTTAAACTCCAAGTTAGAAGACACAAAATGCATAGGACTCAATGACAGCTTGAAAAGTATGTTTGTGAGACACCAGAGAGGTGAAATCCCAGCAATAAGTAGAGGATAGAATCCCAAAGGCGGCCTCGTTAATTACATATAATTATAAAAAATAAGTAAATCAAGCACACTTCTCAAACAAATACACGAAGTTCACAAGATTTATTGTAACAGGTGACCCCAAGCCCCAAGAAATCAGAGATTTGTGAAAGCCATAGCTCCTATCAGACCTGAGGGTTAAAAATCTGATTAACTTCTAGATGCCACTAGACAAACCCTTCTCCTTTTGCCACCGGCTTCTTGCCTACTCACAGAGCCCAAAGCAATTTCAGGTGATCACTTACACTGTCCTGGGAAGAGAAAAGAATGAGGATTAGACACCACAGATGATTTGTAATGTACAAGGGAGGAGGCCATGTAGTTGTATGCATGGCAAAGGGGAACAGGTTTTACTTGCCCTCAGGTCAGATGTTCCTGTAAGTACCTGCAGTAAAAATTCTAATAAGTCTCCAGGTTCCGGAGGCATTGGTCACTTGGAAGAGTATTTGTACCCTGGCAACAGAGAGGAACCTTGTGCTCTGCATGTTGCAGAAATCTGCCTTACAGATTTCTGATACTGGCACATTCAAAGCAGTGGAAGATATTACTAACACTGGAGGAAGACTAGATGTTCAGAAAGGTTACACCAGCCAGCTCATAACGCAGTGAGACACATTGTACTACACTGTGAATATCCACTTTGATAGTCTTGTAGTCATATCCCAAGTGACCATGAGAAACCAGGGTGTAGATCTATAGCACATTCACTGCCTCGCAGTAACTGCTAAGTGAACTCTCTTAACCTGCAGTACTGCGCAGCAGTTTACCCTGCTTTCACACAGGGATACATTACTTTACACTTACAAAGCATGCACATGTACAGTTTCCACAGGACAGCCAGCACGTTACTTTATATATAGCTTTTGGCAACTTTCTTCCTTCACTCAGAAAGGCAAGACTTGTAAGGTGAAGTAATATCTTTGAGTTAATCAAGCGACATAGTTGCAGACTGGAAACAACAAACTTTCTGCTAGGAAAGTTCTTCCAACAGGTCATACATATCCTCATAAAGGGAAGGCTGGACCTTGCAATACCAGAACACAAGGCTAAAGATAGAACTAGGCTGTCATCAGTATAACAAAGGAATTTCCTGACACATCTAGTGTATCTATTGTCTCTTCTTTCAATGGAGAGCACGGTTGCAAACAAAGAAATAAAAAAAGGCTGTTTGGCAATGTCAGAGTTTTGCAGGAACCACATTCATAACTAACATGAGTGAGCTATAATACTTTTTTCTCAATCCAATGCTGAAAGGACATAACAAAAAACTTTCTCACCTTCCTGACAGGAATGTCAACAAACTGGTAAAACAGCATTGTCAAGAAAAGCAGCACAAGGATGCTTCCTAAATAGGTTCAAACAGAATTCACAAACCTTAGCATGATTAAGCCAGCTCTGAGGCAGAAGTCCAGCTGTCAGACGGACAAATGTCAACAGTCCCCTCAGAAACACAGAAATTACATGTTTGGTCTCATCTTACTGCAGTTGCACAAGCGGATGGCAAGGTAAAATTGCAGATGGGTGCACCTCGATGGAGACGAACAAAAGAATGGCAGATTTCAAGTAAGTATCAGAAGGACTTCAAAAGCCAATATTAGACTAATATGGGTTGTTGACATTGAAAATTTTTTTCTTGAGACAGAAGTATATGTTCTTCATGTTCACTTCTCAGGATCTCCTAGAGCCACAGAAAGCATCAAAGTGTTTAACAAGCCTGAGCCAGATGCAGTAGTAATCATCCGAGTGGACAGCCACAAACA